ACGGTTTTTGTTTTGTTTTTGTAAAAGTTTACTGATATTACATTGTCGTCCATTAAAATGCCTACAGTTTGCCAGTGACTGACAAAAACAACGACAACTTTATTATAAAGTTAGTCCATTTAGACCATACGGCACCCAAACCATTAGGGTAATCTAAGTTTTTATTACGAAAGTTCGTGTTATGGGTGCAACTTTCAGAAATACGAAACCATAAAAATACATGTAATTGGTCTTATTTATGTTGTCTCACCGTCGTTTTGTGTCTTAATTTAAGGTTTATATAAACAATGAAAATTCAAAGATTGCCCCCCCTCCCCCATAACTCAGCAGTAAGTCTGCAGGCTTATGATACTAAATACCTGTAGCGGGCAGAGCATTGTGTAGCTCTGCGCTTGACAGCAATCAAAACAATCAGAGACATGTCAATAGTTCATAACAGTCACCTCTGAATCATGATGTACTTTGTATTATCAATATACATACCCTACACCTAATTCTGTTTTTGCCTTGTTTTTCAAACAAAGTTAGTAACCCTTGTACTTTGAGTTATTATTATACAGATCAGTGGTCCTTCCCCTACGACGAGTAATGTATATTTTCAAGAATTAATAAACGTACGACATAATTTAATACTTAAGAGTACAAAAGGCCCTCCGTCGGAACTGGGAGTGCTGAAACTCATTCCCACAACACTGAAAATGAAGATTTCCTAATTTGAAAAATTCCAATTTTACATTGCTTTGGTTCTTGCTTGCTCGATGGTGTGCAACATAACAAAATTCGAATCCACGAGCATCGAGATTTAAATGGATTTAATTTAGCTTTAAAAGGCCATAAATAAATATATTAAGAAATATATGTATACAGAGGATAGCTAAACGAACTCACATGGATACATGTATTTTGATTATAGCTTTAGGGATACTACCTCACAAAACAAAAATAAATCGTCTCTTCCTGACTTTAGATCATTGTTTCAGGCAATATTATTACACAGATTAACGAAAGGCTGTTTTTGCACATCCACCTTTGGGAAAAGTAAAAATTAACCCATCTTTTACTTTTCAGGAAATCCATCGATTCTCCTAACTTCACCACAGTGCCGGCCTCCACTTCTGCCGACGGCAACTCATTCCACAAGTCAACTAACATGTTAGAAAAATAAAATAATTTCTTGTCCAATTATTTTCAGAGTATGTCACAAGGAAATATGAAGCATTTTTTCTATCAAACGCCTGGATAATCTTTTCCATAAGCGTATTTAACAACTTTACTAATTATAACCTATCGATATCATTAATGTAAAAAAGAAAGAGCAAAGGCTCAAACGCCGATCCTCCAGTTACTTCACTAGTAACAATTGCTTAACTTCAAACAAACAAATACTAATCTTTTATCTTGTTTTAAGGATGTTACTTGTTATCTGGATGAAGTAAAGGGTGTGGACTTTTAAGATTTAAAAATATTTTTTGATAAAACACCACACAGAGGATTACTAAGAAAATCACATCAGTAGAGGTCGTGGAAAGGTTAGTTAAGGTGAATTCTAGAGTTGTTGATGGGAGAAAGCAAAAGGTTATTATTAATAGTGGACCTTAAAGGCCAATTAGTCTTACTTATGTAGTGGGAAATTTCTAGAATCTGATAAAAGAAGCTTTACAAAATCATTTAGTAAAATATGATGCAATAAAAAAAAGCCAACACGGAATCGTCAAAAGGGAATCTTGCCTTACTAATATTTTGTCCCCCCCCAGTGGCACAGCGGTATGTCTGCGGACTTACAACGCTAAAAACCGGATTTTGATACCCGTGGTGGGCAAAGAACCGATAGCCCATTGCGTAGCTTTGTTTACAGTGAAACTCTTATTACCACTTTAAAAAAAGGAGTTATATAAGCAACTCTCCAGTCCTCAGCATCTGCCTTCTTCTACTGACCTACATTACAGAGAAACTCTTATTACCACTTTAAAAAAGGAGTTATATAAGCAACTCTCCAGTCCTCATGCATCTGCCTTCTTCTACTGACCTACATTACAGAGAAACTCTTATTACCACCTTTAAAAAAGGAGTTATATAAGCAACTCTTCAGTCCTCATGTATCTGCCTTCTTCTACTGACCTACGTTACAGAGAAACTCTTATTACCACCTTAAAAAAGGAGTTATATAAGCAACTCTCCAGTCCTCAGGAATCTGCCTTCTTTTACTGACCTACATTAACAGAGAAACTCTTATTACCACCTTAAAAAAGGAGTTATATAAGCAACTCTCCACGTCCTCAGGAATCTGCCTTCTTCTACTGACCTACGAAAAAAGT